GTGCGATTTTGGCTCAACACCAAACCAAACCACACTGAGCCCACCCTTAGTTTAGACTGTTGCTATATATAAAGAAACTTCGTGTAGTAAAGTCTGAAGGTCAGTAAACTTCAAAAAAAATAAAGTGAGATTTACCCCTTAAAAAAAGATATCATTCCATTTATTATTTTGTCTTTGCTAAAAAATAAAAAAGCTACCATAACCAGTGGGAGGGGAGGGGAGGGGAGAAATTAAGTGCAACATTTATTGAAATTAATGAATTTCGGTCTTCACGTTTCACAGTGAGTGCAGTATGACTTGAACTCCACGGTGTGGCCGAACTGTCATATACTGAATTGGTGAGTGGACATAACCAGGGGAAAGGGTGAAGCTGTAGCGCTGTAGAATCATTGCCAGGGCAATCTTTACTTCTGCGTTTGCGAAGTTCATGCCCACACAAGTTCGAGGTCCCAATCCAAAAGGTAAGAAGGCGACCGTGTTATTTTTAGTAGCTTTAGCAACCCCTTCTGAGAATCTCTCAGGTTTGAAAAGGTTCACGTCTTCTCCCCAGAATTTAGGATCATGATGAAATGCAAGATTCGGGACGTGCAATTCAGCGTCAGCCGGAATAACGAGCCCTCCCAGCTTAACATTCTTTTCAACTTGCCTATTTAGGGAAACAACCGGAGGATATAACCTTAGAGACTCGTTGATGATCATACTCATCTGCATTAGACAATGAACAATATCAGGATTTCAAAACTTAATTGAGAACAATGCCTCTGCCTGTAATTAGATAAGCTAGCAATCAACTGGTTAACTTTCTTACCGTTTTCAGTTTGGAAATGCCATCAAGAGTTGGAGTTTGTTGACCAAATAATTGTAGGACTTCCTTTCTTGCTTCCTCTTGCCAATCCGGATGGAGTGCCAGGAGAAAGACAGTCCAAGCAAGCAGAGCATTAGTGGTTTCTTGTCCAGCAAAGTAAAACGTCTTGCACTCATCAACAATGTCATCGAACGAAATCCTCTGGTTTTCATTGGTATCATGATGAGCCTTCAAAAGTACTCCAAGAAAATCACTCCCAAACTCGTCTGCTTCTCCATTCATGGCCTTGTTTTCTCTTTTCTTAACAATCTCGGCTATGGTGTCACGTATTCCCTTCTCAAGCTTGTCCGCTCTGATCTCAGCACTGGTTTTGTAAAACATACTGCAAATTTGAATGATAGACTAAACATGAGAAGTGTAAATTTGTTGTGAATACTTCTCTGCTGCTCCCAAAATTTCAATAGCTAAAAGAAACATGGTGGATTCTTTTGGTATCATTTTAGGTAAAAGAAGCTACCTGATGCCAGGAAACCTGGGCCTGAGAGCATTTTGGAATATAACGGAGGTCAACTCCATCAACATATCAAAAATTCTCTTCCCTTCTAAGTAGCTGCTGCCAAATGCGGACCTTGAAATCACTTCTGAAGTCAACAACCTAAATTCTTCAAACACCTCGATCTCCTTGCCTTCATGATTTTTCCACCTTTGAAGCATTATCTCAGTGCTAGTTATCATATCAGGAACCATACCCTAGTAACACAACAACATAATGCGTCAATAACCAAATTTACACGACAGAAAATTTTACTTTTCCCCTTCAAACTATGTATATATTTTTATATAGTAAAAATAGCCTACTTTTAAGCTCTCTCCATGGAAGGCATGGTTGGCCAGCTTTCTTAACTTAACCCATTTTTCACCTTCTGCCATGGAAATACTTTCTCCAAATAGCTTCTTCACATAGCCTTGGGACTTCTGTTTTCTAAAGAGCCTATCTTTGTTGTTTAGTATCTCTTTGCTCAACTCAGGTTCCGCAATGAGCAACTGAGGTTGAGTACCTTGCCATTGAAGAAAATTCTTCCCTGTTGCGACAAAACGACTAAATTTATCTTTGAACTAATTAAAGATTTATAAAAACCAGAGTTAATTAATGAAGAGTTTCTACGTACCATATATTTTGGTCCATTGGTGAGTATGAGGTTGAACTGTAGGGAATATGTCATGTGACATGTTTCTTGGCCTGCTCATAGCTTCCTTTTTCATGCTCATGATTTCTTTGGTGCTTCCATGGACAAGTCTGTAAGCAGGGCCATGTATTCCTTGCAGACCCATGAATTTCTGTATGCGATTTGGAACCCACCATACTTTGCGAAAGATCCTGATGAGAGCTAAAAGAATTACAAGGAACACACACACAAAGCTTGAAACAGTGAACATCGAGTCTCCTAATAACCAACTCATTTCTTTTTCTTGATTGATATGTTTTCCTCTTTGTGGATGTATCTATTTATACTCAATTTTAACTGTCGGGTGTTTCTTTGTTCTTTTCGATAATTTCTAATTATTAGAATCGGTCAGGTCAGAGCTACCATATTAGAATAATGAGGGTACAAATTGCAGACTTCATGAAAATACTTCGACCCTATTATCGGTATCAGCGTCTTCAAAAGAGATATATTTGTGCATCAACAAATATTTTCATCCCTTTGAAGAGCATTATGAATTATTGGAAACAAACAAGATGCCATTTTTGACTATATATATATATATTTGAGGATCCTTCAAATAAGTTTATTTGAGAGACACCATTATAAGGCCTACCATACATTGTATTTCATTAATTCAAATCATCTATTTGGTAGATATTTATTTGAAGATCATCTTTGTAAAAAATTACTTGAATCCGATATCATTTGATCACTCAATTAAATTATTGAAATTTTAGTACTTTATTGAAGTACTATATTCATTGATTTTGTAAGACACAATTAGATGTTTAAACTGTTTTGGATTTGTCTAATTTTTTTTTTCAAAGATGATCTATGAATGAAGACTTAAAAAATAGATTGTTTGAATCGTTGTAAATTTTTTATTTAGAATACTTTAAAGAGCGACTTTCAAATAAAATTATTTGGAGGCATCTCTTAATATGAGGGATTGATAAAAAATAGTTGCCATAGTTGACATACATTATAGATTATAAACTTGACATGATATTATATTGTCGCTCGTCAGATGGCGTTAGCCAAATGCAAGGTTGGTTGATTATAATATTTGCCCATGTCATTACAATTATGGCTCATATCATACATGGATTTGGAGTTTCTTATAGGTTAATCCCATTAGAATAGATAAATATTGCTAGCTGGCTGGCCACATTCCCTATATATATATTATATATCTTTCCCATAATTTCTATCGATATATATATATATATATATATATATATATATATGGGGTAGAGTGTTTAAGCTGCATCACATCACATATATTATATCCAAAACGGCGGACATGTAATATAATATAATTGTGCAGCCAGCCAGAAACAAACTCAGTCTGAATTCTGGCTGTTTCTTCTACGAAACTACTCATGATTTTTCTGAGCTATAATGTGTCAACGGTTAGCAGCTGGACCTGCTCTTTTAAATAAGGCCAAAAAAGAAAACTCAAGGTGCAGAAGAGTGATGACAATAAAGAGGATGAAAGGATGAAAAGCATGCAAAGGTTTTAAATTTGAATTGACATATTCGAACGTTCGTCACGATCTTTTTGTTTTTTCTTTCTTGTACAACAATTTGCTATTTCTTTATTATCTTTCAAGTTTTGAGGACTCTGTGTCCTGTAATTTCAAGATCAAGCAGAATATAGTGTTCTCACATCAGAAACATTAACAAAGTAAAAAACAACTTCACTGTTAATAATATCGATGCCTTTTGTAATAAAATATCATATCTATTAGGCTGTGTAAGTAATTAAGTTGGAACAATATCGCTGTTGTTATAAATTGTAATCATATTTAGGATGAAGAAAATTTGAAATTTAACTTTACATCATTTCTGAAGTACGTGCATGCTGTCACTAAAGTAAAGTCTCTCTCTCTCTCTCTCTCTCTCTCTAATGTTTAAGCTGCATGTAGACACAAGTATTTAGGGCTCGTCAATGGGCTGGGCCGAGCTAGTCCAGCCCAAAATTAATAGGCTTGGGCCAGGCGGAGCTGAGTTTTAAAGAGAAGAGAAAAAATAACGGGCTGGGCCGGGTTGAGTTTTTTTAGAATATTCAAAGCCTAGGCCTGACTCATGGGCCGGGCTTGAAAAAACCCATCGAGCTGGGCCGGGCTGAAATGGGCCTACTTCATTCAAAAAAAAGAAAAAGAAGAGGAGAAAGAAACAATGTGCCATTCAAAAAGAGGCACTTAGCCGCATTATAATTAGACCGTAACATGTTTTAAGAAATAATTTTAAAAAATAAGAAGTATAAAAAAATATTTAAAAAAAAAGATGATGTGAATAAATATGCAAATGCTTAGCTTAGTGATGGGTTCAAAAAAAGCTTGATTATATTTGGTGGTATGATTATGTTTGGTGATATGATATATTGTTCGTCTTATTCTTGATTTATATAATTGTTGTATTAATAATTGACACAAATTAATGTGCTAATCATCCAATTATAAATTAGAAATGAGTAAAGAAAAGTAAATGAAATGAAACAAAATAAGAAATCCAAAATAAACACAAACAACAATTTCGATGCTTGTTTGAACGATTTTTGTTTTTTTTTGTTTTTTTTTGGTCAACAAAGATATCATAAAGGCCAACCGGCAAAAGCCCAAAAGGGAGCCAAACCCAACCAAACCAACAGAACAGACACACCAAATTATATATATACTAAAACTGAATCCCCGAATTCACTGTTCCTAGACTGTAGCTTAGGAATAGTGAAGTGGCGGTTTTGCCCCCGCTTAAGAGATGGTCTGCTTCCTTGAGCTGACTTTTGAACAGTGAATTGTCCGTTTTGCCCTCCAGCCCTGTTCTTTTCTCTTCGTGGGAACTGAAGTTCCCAATCAGTTGCTCGACTTCGTTGGCGTAGCAGAGGGAGGGAAAACTCTATGATGAGAAAAGTCCAACCATCTGGTTTTGCCTTTCGTTGGAATTGTTGGGGGATGGGAGATATTTTTTGATTGGCTCTTTCTCCCATGAGAGCTTCACTGTTGAAGCTTGATCTGGCTTTCTTTCTACCGTTGATTTCGTTTGTGGCTGCTATGGTGCGAATTGGTTCGTCCATTTGGTCCTCTTCTTCATCAGATAACCTTCTTTTTATTTGTTCCCCTGTTTGTCTCATATCGTCTTCTTCCTCTTTCCTTCGTTTGTGCCTGTGCTGGTATTTTTTGGGTTTCCTTCTTCAATTTTTCAGATATGTCTTTCTTTTTCTCTTCTTCTTTTTTAATCGCGTCTTCTTTTGATGTTTTGTAGGTAATCTTTCGACTGACGGTTCTGATGCCTCACCCATTGATTCAATGACAGCCATCCGACGATGACATGATAAATCGTCTGGGACCAACGGTCTCTCCAAGGATTTCAAACAAAAAATTATTAAGCAGGCAAGATCTCTCTCTCTCTCTCTCTCTCTCTCTCTCTCTCTCTCTCTCTCTCTCTACTTGAGCATGTGGATAATGAACCCTAGGAGCTTAATATCTGTATGCATCTAAAAGGAAATATGATTGGGAGTTGATATTCTGAACAAATCGACCAGTCTCTCAGCTGGAAGGTAAAGATGGTTGGTTCAATATAAGATCATTCAAACAAAAAATCTGATTTAACACTCTATAAAATATGTAGAAACCTACTTACCCTCTGTTTGTTTGCTAAGAAAATGCAAGAAAAAAACAGAAAATTTCATCTTTTTAAACATTTTACTGTTGTTTTGTGGGTAGGAGTTCAATAATTATGCTTATAAAAGCGTTTGAGGTCACCCACTTAATAACATTAGTACTTTTTATTGAAATCACTTGGGTTTCTGTGGAAACTCAAGGACATAAATGCAAGAGATGGAGTCTTTGTTCTATAATTATGTTGGATTGAAAATTTGGTGCCTTTCTTCTTTCTTGCATGTGCTTGGAATTACAATGAAAATTTCCTTTCATTGTTTTTTGGTTGTTGAAGGGTTTGAGCATGAGGAAAAAGGTGATTTTGCAACCTCACCAAAGCATTTCAGGTAAGAACCATACCCTTGAATTGCCCTTTTGGACCAAAATTAAGCCTTTTGTTTTGTGGTTTATCATATGATTGGGTTCTATGTTTGAGCTTATGGATTGGTTCATGGTGGATTTGAATTGGCACGCAGAGTTGCTTGGGTGAAGCTGATGACTGTGTGCGTTGCAGGACTATAAAAAAATGGTGCAACTACATCTATTTGTGGACTTTGAAATAGAAACAAGGTTTGCATCTTTTAATCGCCTCCACTGTATTTCAATTTCTTTCCCTTTTAGTAATTTTGATTGTATTTCTCCCCTGTGGTGGGTTTGATCATGCTTTTGAATTGGTAATGGCAGGGGACTGTTCGTGCGTGAATAAAGGCTTGCCATTGCCCTTGCTGATGTTGTGAGACAGAGCCAGTGTATGCGTACAGAAGTTACGGTATACAATGTTCTCTCTCCCTCTCTTTAATTTCAGTTTTTTTTTCTTTTAATAGAATTTTGTCAAATATTTTGGTTCTGGATTTTTTGTGTTGAAGAAATTTACAATAAGGGTTTTTGATGACATTCTGTGTTCATAAATATCTTTTGTAGAACAACACAGAATGTTGACTGACTTTGAAGGTGCTACAAGAAAAAACGAAGTAGGGTTCTGCATTTGGACTAGCAAAGAGGTTTGTCAATCCTTCTCTCATCCTCAATTTTTTTTCTTTCAATAAGTCGATTACATCTCAGCCTTAAATTCACTGTTTTTTTATTTCTGTTTAATTTAATGAGACAATTTCTGTTATTGAATTCTAAATTATGCACTTTTTTTCTCCATGTTAGGGTACTGGGATGCTAGGGGGTTCTTTTTATTCTCTTTTCCACTGCATATTATAACTTAGATGGGTATGCTTCAAGAAGGTTGGTTTTGTTCTTGAAGAATACCCATTTGGTTTCAGACATAGTTTATTTAGTTAAATATATGTAATGTGCCACAAAAAGGTTGGTAATGTACTGGTGAAGTGGATTTAGCCAAACATTGCATATGTATTATGCATACAAATTCTTAGTATTGTTGTAAACAATCAGTTTAAGTGGAGGATTGTTGTATGAAATGTGGTAAACAAATATCTAGAAATTATCTTCACAGTTTCTTAGGTTCCATTTAATTCGGTATTTGTTTTTGTGTGATATATTTCTCTTAGGGCGTGTCAAATGGTAAAGCTGCAATTAACGGTGTCTTTTTTGTGTTGCAGTTCCACCAGTACCAGGTTGTTGGGAGGAAGCTCCCTACGGCATCTAATGAGCACCCCGAGATTTACTGAATGAAGCTCTGGGCCACCAATGAGGTTCGCGCCAAGTCCAAGTTCTGGTATAATGCTTAGCCTTAGCTTGGCTTTTGTGATGCCAAATGTTCATTGGTGAATTTTGGGTTAAACTTAATATTGTTGATTGATTTGTTTGGATTAGGTATTTCCTGAGGAAGCTGAAGAAGGTCAAGAAGAGCAATGGCCAAGTGCTTGCCATTAATGAGGTTTGTTCTCTCTGCTGTTTATACTCTATTTTTTCTAATTAATAAATTTGTACCCATTTTGATTATTTGTCAGTGTCTAATGTATTCAATGTTGTTTTGCGGTGGGGTAGTGGTTCCTCCTCAACTCTCCTCCTGGCTTAATCCAATTTGTTGCCAAAGGTCTCTGCCTTTGACCCACTCTTTTATCACATTTATTTCGCTTTTTTCTAATTTTGTTTCGATCATTTGAATCGTATTTTGTATTTGATGTTTGGCTTTGGTGGCAAATGTGAAGGAGGCTGCGTCAGAGGCATCCCCTCGAAATGACCGGCTGATTTGGAGATGTATGTTTTCTTTTCTTTTTTTCTGTTTTCTTTTTCTTCAAAATTGAAGCCTCCACTTTGCTGAATAAAGGCTCCTCTTGGCTTTAGTGTTTCATTTCGATGAATTTTGGGCTCTTACATGTGTTTGCGAAATTGCAAACCTTTTTTTTGTAGAGATGTTCAAAGTTTGAACACTGCCTCCATTATCTGAATTCTAATTCCGAATTTTAATTCTTCTCTCTTTTTAAGAACGCTACCTCTATTATCTGGAATTGATTAAGATTCTTTTTTGCGTCTGTATTTTGGCTAATTTTTTCTTTGGGAGTATTATGAAAACCTATCAGCATACCCACAGCTTCTTCTACACCCTATTTCTCTGCACATTCCTCTCAAAAACTTAAATGCTTTATGCTCCACCTTAGCCTTTGGTAGTTTTCTCTGCTTTCACTTGGTTCAATTTTAGGTTTTAACTTTTTTTTAAAATCTTTATTGTAAATTTGTTACTTTAAATCCTTAATTTTAGGATTAGTTATGGTTTATTTTTATACCTTATGATGAATTGAGATGTGGACAATGAATGTGTTTCTTCCTTCATAGCTGTGCTTAAAATGATATTTCTCTTGATATCTTTTCTTTGGTATATAGGTGACATGAAGCAGAAACAGGGAAGGAAATCTCATATGAAATGGGTATTTTATGTTGGAGGTTAGGTTTATTTTATGATTTTTTATGTTAGATTTCATATTGAATCAATTTGAAAGGTTCCCCCTGAAGACTCTGAATTTCTTTTAAGTTTTTTATGGTTATAACACATTAAATTTATTTTTTCTTATCAGTTCTTTCAACTTTATTCTGCTAATTCAGTGAGAGTAGTTGTCAAAGATGGCATCAAAGCTTAGCAAATCTATGCTTGATGGGGTTGAAATTACGATTTAATCAGTGATAGGACTTTTGGTTAAATCCCAAGGAGGGAATGCATTCTTTGCCATGGTTCCCGGACAGGTCTTCTTGGCTTCCCTTGATGCTATCAGTAAGTTGATTAGGGTTCTATAACCTTTAGGTGTTTTAGGTTATTTCTGCTTTTATAGCTTACTTCTCCTTCAGATTAACATAGCCTATAAATGACAATACATGTATCAGTTTTGACCATAGGTGTCTACAGATAATCTATTCTTTTGTGCAACAAACTTGCACATGGGTTGATTCTGTTATGGGTATTTGGTTTGATTCTATTAAAGTCTGGGTCTTTTGGTTTCATTATGTTATAGGTATTTAATAATTTGTGGCAATGACAGATTATACTTTTGTCCACCACATTCGTAGAATGCTTGGCGTATTTAAATTGTGGTTTGTGCAGTTGATTTCTTGGCCTTAATTCTGTAACAATAGCCACTGTCTTCACTGAATTTTCCCATTTGTCTCCACTAACACTTACCAGTTTCCAAATTTGTAGCAACATAATAAACACCCATTGATTTGATGCTATTAAAGCTAGAGTGTTTTGGCTTAATTCTCTCATACCTATTTAATAAATTGTCACAATTGTTCTAAGTTTGTTATCAATTGATTAAATAGACAGGAGTTATACTTTTGTCCATCAGATTAATAGAATGGTTGATGTACCTAAACTGTTGTTTGTCCTGTTGGATTTTTTAACTTAATTTTGTGATGATAGTTGGTATTCGCTCAAATTTTTCCATTTATCTACACTAACACTTGCCATTTTCCAAATTTGTACCAATAGAGTTAAAACCCCTGCAAAGGACAAGAAAGAACAGAAGCCACCTCTATAGCAAAGCCATCAAGAGAAAGATCCCATTCCAACAGACATCAAGGCAGAAAATCCCCTTCCACCACCCAGTAGCATATATATATAAAGACCGGTCCAAACTCTTTTGAACAATGAACATTCTAAAACTGCTGATATTTTGATAATATTTTGATGTTTTGATTGCTGCTTGGTTTATTAAAATATGGTCAATATTTTAACATGACAAGCAGCATATAAAACATGTTATTAGTCTATTTTTTGTAACATAAACTTGCCAAATAAAGCATGATGCCACTATTTAGATCTCCATGTGTATATAAATAGTACAATCTTTCATATATTTTTTCACGATTTTGTATACAATTCACATGGTTTTAAAACCCGCAGCATAGCGCGGGCACCTTTGCTAGTCAAAGAACTAAAAACAAGCCAAAAGAACAAAACAAACAAAAAACCACACAACAAATGGTTCTACAAGAAGCGTAATTACAAGCAGCAAAGCAGCGAAAAAGAAAAAAGAAAAAGAGAAAGAGGGAGCTAGTGCCACCTCATAACAGGGCCTCAAACAGAGGTTGCCCTGTATATTATTTAAGCTATCTTGCCCGGTATATTATATACTATAAACACCAAGATCAAGATTATGGGCAATTCTGGTGGTACTTTTGACAGTTCACAGAGAGTGCAGCACAACCTGAACTCCATGTTGTGGACGAACTGTAAGATACTCATACGGGGAGTGGACATAAGCAGGGGAAAGAGTGAAGGTGTAGCGTTGGAGAATCATTGACAGAGCAATCTTTGCTTCTGTGATCGCAAAGTTGAAGCCCACACATGTCCGGGGTCCCATTCCAAAGGGTAAGAATGCAGCTATGTTATTGTTAGTAGCTTTAGCAACCCCTTCCGCGAATCTCTCTGGTTTGAAAAGTTGCACGTCTTCCCCCCAAAATTCAGGCTCATGATGGATTGCTAGAATTGGGATTATCAATTCAACATTAGCAGGAACAATGAGCTTCCCCAGTTTAACTTCCCTTCTGACCTTCCTCTCCACGGAAACAACAGGAGGATATAACCTTAAAGACTCATTGATGATCATACTCATCTGCATGTGATGAACATAAATGATTGGATATTTAAAAAGAAAACAGGATTGCAGACATAATTAATCGAAAGCAAATAGGTCGAGTTCTTGAGTTTCTTACAGTTTTTAACTTGGAAAGGCCGTCAGGATTTGGATTTTGTCTACCAAATAATTGCAGGACCTCCTTTCTTGCTTCCTCCTGCCAATCTGTATTAAGTGCCAGGAGAAACACAGTCCATGCAAGCATACTATTAGTGGTTTCTTGTCCGGCAAAGTAAAATGTCTTGCACTCATCAACCAAATCATCAACCGAAATTCTCTGGCTGTCATTGGTATCATGATGAGCTTTTAAAAGTAATCCAAGAAAATCACTCCCAAAGCTGTCTTCTCCATCCATTGCCTTCTGTTCTCTTTTCTCAACAATCTCTATTATGGAGTCGCGCATTCCTTTCTCAAGCTTCTCTGATTCGATCTCATCGCTAGTTTTAAAAAACTTACTGCAATTTTGAATGAAGGCCTAAACATGAGAAGTGGCAACTGACATAATCTTTGAAGAATATTGTTGAGAATAGTTTCTCTGCTGTGCAGCAGATGGGAAGAACAGATAAGAATATGATCCGTTCTTCAATGTGGTTATTCCCCAAGTCAAAATTTCGTTAAATGGAAAATTACCTGATTCCAGGAAATCTGACAGTGAGAGCATTTTTGAATATTAAAAAGGATAACTTCATTAAATTCTCAAAAAAGTTCTGTCCTTCCAAGTAGCTGCTGCCAAAAGCAGTCCTTGAAATCACTTCAGAAGTGAACATCCTAAATGGTTCGAACACCTCAATCTCTTTTCCTTCACTGTTTTTCCACCCCTCTAGCATCGTCTCAGCACTAGCTACCATTTCTGGAACCATGCTCTAGTAAATCAATACCCCGTCATCGAATAAGAAAATTTACCTTAAATTCATGATCTTTTAGTATTTTCGCATTCATAGATAATTGATACAACATTCACTACAGCACTCTCTGCAAGAATTCATATACCAATAACATTAAGGACTTACTTTTAAGCTCTCTGCATGGAAGGCATGGTTAGCCAGCTTTCGCAATTTTCCCCATTTTTCACCGTCGGTTGTCCCAAGACCATCTCCTAAAAGTTTCTTGACATAGCTTTGGGGCTTCCTTTTTGCAAAAGCTCCATCTTTGTTATTCAGTATCTCTTTGCACAACTCGGGTTCCATAATGACCAACTGAGCTTGAGAACCATACCACTGAAGAAAATTCATCCCTGCAATTGCATTTAAATTAAAAATGACCGAAGATTCTTAGCCACAAAAACTTTTTTAAAAACCACTGTTAATGAAAGGGTTTGTTACCATATATCTTGGTCCACGAATGAACATGAGGTCGAACTGCAGATACTATGTCATGGGATAAACTCATGGGCCTGCCAATAATTTCCCTTTTCATGTTCAAGATTTCTTTGGTGTTTCCATGGATAGGTCTGTAGGAAGGGCCTTTGATTCCCTGCAAAGCCATCAGCTTCTGTATGCGAGTTGGAGCCCACCATAGTTTGTAAAAGATGTTGAGGAAAGCTAAGAGAAGAAGAAACACACACAGAAAGCTTGAAAGAATGATAACTAAGCCTCCCAAACTACTCATATTTTTCGCATAGTTTTTCCTCTCTAGCTCTATCTAAATCTAATATCTCATTTCAACAGTCTGCTATCAAGTTTCTTGCTCTTGTTCTGAGGTCACATATTGTACAGCATGAAGTCAAAACTATGAATGAATCAGGATGGATGCATGTGGTGAAGAAGTTGCCACCTTGGGCCCCATTCAGACTTCTTGGTGCACGTTTTCATACCTATCTAATTGGGTCTTTGTTTTGGTGTTGAAATTAATGCACATTTGTGCTAAAAAATATAGAAAAATCTAGAAGCTTGAAGAAAGTGCCATAAGCTTGATGGGAAGTCGGCAGCCAGATGCAACCTTGGAGAACTATCTAGAGAAAGCCAAATATATGTGGCTGGGGTTAGTCTTCCTAAGTCGGTGGACCAAGGTATGGCGGTGGATCATGTCTATAAATAGACATACATTTGGTCATACAAGGTGGAGCACAAAAGCTACCCAACCCAAGTCAAATGGGGAGTCCAATTTAAAAAACCTCCCAAACTATAAGGGAGCTAATAAGCTCACCAATTTAAGTGAAGGGCGAAATAGCCGAAACAAATCTAACCTAGTGTGATGACCAATAAGCCAAAAAACTAAGGAGGCCAATTAGCCTACACTAAGTCATGTACTATTTTCCTCAATGTAATAAAATCATTTTGTTTCAATTATTGTCTATTGTCCTAAACTCCTTCACCACATAAACCAACATCGATATCAAAAGCAACATACAACACGCCTACTAAATTCTGACATTTGGCAACGTAGTATCCTCCCCTCATGTAATGTTTTATTATGTCCTCCTAGACTTTTGGTATCATATATTATATCGTATTTGTCTACCTTCCTCTTAACATCAATTGGTCTTTTCTAAGTTACTCATCGTAGTACGTAGTCCGCCTGTTAGTTTTCAATTTGGTTTGAGTATTATAAGTAGAACATATGTTTCTGGGGGTTGTTTATTGAAGGCATTGAAGAGGGAGTACAAACAACTAACAACTGTTATTACTTTAGATAAAACAAATGGAAAATGGTGATTGATAAGTATAGGAATGGTAGTTGTAGCTTGCGGAATGATAGTTGGAAGAACAATCCAACATGTAGTATAAACAAAATGACGAAGGAAACAAAGAAAAGCAAATCAAAAGGGGGTAGAAAACTGTGCAAAAACAAGACAAATTTCACAACAATTTGGGCATAGTAAGGGCCAGACGGGCTTGAACTTTATTGAAAATTAAAACCTGGTTATAACCAATTACATCCCTGATTGGCTTGAAAGCATCCGAGTTTATTCTTTCACATGTTAAGGCTTTTGTCTTTGCTAAGACGAACCATTCTCTTACATGTGTATTACTAGTACTTTGACAATCTGTAAATCAGTTGCACTCTTTTATACTAGGGTACCACATCCAGTGGCTTCAATGTTTTCCATACACCAAGTGCCCGATCTATTCCCAGTTCTCGTCTTTGCAGTTTACAGTTTATGTAGCATCACTTGAACTCCATGTTGTGGACGAATTGTTAGATAATCAACGGGTGAATGGA